CCAGGCTTACTGGGAAACCATTACAGGCTCAGAGCTTGCAAAACCATGCTCCTGGTACACACAGCAGTCTGCCAGATATCTGAAAGTACCCTCTGGGAGGGAATGGTTACGGTTGGTTGGACGTCTCAGGATGATTTTTTTAGTATGTGTCAGAGGCCCTGACCTGTATTCCCCACAGGCCTCTGATTGGCTGTTCTGCTTTTGGGATTGCTGAAGTGTTCGGTCCAGTGCTGACTGCTGGGCAGGCTCCTCTTACAAATGAGAGGATCAAGAAAGATTTCTGGAAGCTCTTCTTTCCTTTGCATGCAATATTCTTCAATTCTATAATGTGATCATTTTACTTACACCGGTATAGCAAATGTGTAGCACGCTGATGTGACGCTTCTGGCATTCTGCAGTCATAAGCGCTCTGTGTTTCTTTGCCTGGAACCTGGATGAAATCACCATCCCTTCATAAATAGGACTTGTAATTGCTGCAATACAGTAATACAAAGTAGTTACTATCATCTTAGTGTTATGTATTCATAGTCTTCTAAGGCTTCCGTTTTCTTGGGCTATTTGTAGCTAGTTTAAGACTAAATGAAAACAAACCAGCAATTAAGGGAGGAGAGCACAGTGTTTATTCTTTTACATTGGTTTTCCAGTTTGGTCCCGCGTGTGGGCTTTTGGAAGACCCCTTTTTAAATGATCTTTATGGAAATGTCTTTCCATATGATCTCAAAATCATATGCTGTCTGAAAAAATCACAGCTAAAATGCATTCATGGTGAAAATAGGACAACTCTGTTCTATGAAATCACTGTTGTTTTAGTACAGTTTAATATAAGATACAAAATTATTTGTCACTCCAAATCCTTTCAGGGAAAATGAATCTAATTTCTTTTGAATATTTCTGTGACTTAGCCAAGATCTTAAATGTAATTTAATGTAGCTGCTTAATGCAACTCATATTTCACCCAGGAAAGCTGGGATAAGTACTGTACTTGTGTGAAGTACTGTGAAAGCTGCGGCTAAAGATGTTGCAATGTAATCTTGTCTTTTCCTTTTTCCTAAGAGCTTAAATTGTTTGGTGCGGACAGATAACTAATTCGAGGTTGTGTCTTTCATTCAGCACAGATTTGCTATATGTTGTTGATAGATTGTATGGCATGTGGCAGAGAGACGGGAACATAAGTCACCGAACTGAATTCCTGTCTGGATTACAAATGTCATTTTGCAAGCTGATGATCATCTGGTTAGTAATAAATCCTGATCCATTGCTACTTGGCTGTCTTTAGTAATTAGATGATTATTACAAAAGATAAATATTTTGATAATTGATTATGTTACAGAAGTACACTAATCCTTTGGTATAAAGGCTTCTTGAATTGTCTAAACACTTAGCACAAGGCCAACAAGTATCTGAGAGACAAAGATGTTTATGCTAGTGTAAATTGTGACCTTCAGTATTTCTTTGATGTTTGCGTGCCGTTCTCGTTCTGTGGAATACCATTTTCCTGAATAAACACATGGCCTTTAATAAATATGGTTTCTCAAAGTTTCTTTGAAATTGCATTCACAAATCATGATAAATGGGGGGGGGTGGAGGGAGAAAGGCTCTTTTACTACAAGTTTGCTGTGTTCCCGCCTAAAGATCTACCCTTGAAAAGTGTCCCTAGTCTTAAAAGCTCTGCTCTTGATAGTAGGAAGAATCTGGGTTTCTGCAGGGCTACCTGGTTGGGAACTCTATTAGCTGCTACAATAGAGGGATATGAATGGTTTGCCTTTGATAGAGGAAAAGGCATTTCTATTTGTTGATTACATAAAAAACTCTAAAGTCTATTTCAAGGATCAGGGGAAAATGTATGTAAGCCATATGTGAGCTTACATTGATGCTAGGATATTCATAAGATATTAATAAGTTTGCCATAATTTTGAAACATTTTGATTAAAATACTTGTAAGTTGTTGTGACCCTTGAGGTGCTATGAATATGCTCATAGCATAAATATAAGTAAATTGGTGCTTAACCGGTAGAATAAGGTTCCCCGAATTTATTGTGAAATCCTTGTAGATAAGTGTGGCTGTGGCTTCTGGATGCTTCTGCCTTTACTTTTCTTGCGACAGAAAATGAGTTATTAGACTTCTGCTTAGTCAAATGTTTCCTGTACAGCTTAAATGTTTGGAGCTGGGGAAAGCTCTTTGCTTTCTTTTTGTTATACTCTGAATTGTTTGTTATTGAGGACATTCCCTTTCTTTTTGCATATTAGTCCCCTCTGCTGTGATTTCATACGTAATAATTCTGCTCTTGCATTTAGGGAGAATAATTTGTTATGACTTATAAGCCAAGAAGTAGTTAAAGGAACAGTGAAAAATCCCAATGACTTGTTTACTGATTTTTAGAAGGTTCTCGGAAATACTGTTGTCCAATCGTACTGCATGAGCTCACCAATGCTGAATAAACAAATATGAGATGCGTAATAAGGTGTGTGCCAGACTTCTCATCCTGCCAGATGGTCTTATTTTCAGCTTGGAAATGTCAAGACCTTGGGAAATATAATGAAGTCTTTTATGTTTGATAGCATTTTGAAAATTGCCCTGATACTTTAAAACAATATCGTTCATCATCCTCTCTTTCTCTCTCTCTTTTTTTTCCTTTGTAGCGTTGATTACCACAATCAGCAATGCTGTGCCTGCCAGAAAGATGGCATTGAGGTTGAATCTGGAATTCTTGTTTGTAGTGGAGTAACCAAAGACTTGAAATACCAGACTTGCACACACAAAAGCTGAAGGGTGCCGTGGGTGCCATGATCGTTAGAAATCAAAACACCTTCTCATAAATTATAAGTATGATTTACATCCTTCTTAAATATGGAAAAGCTAGTTTAAGCAGTGATCAAGTAAAACTTAAAAATAACCTGTTTGCTCCAGGATGCATGAGATGCAAAGTTTTAGACAGCTGGCAGGTATAACACACAAGCGAGGAAGTCTGAGGAACAAAATTCCGTTTCTTTCTGCGCTGGCCCCTGCAGTTGTTCGCATCCCCTCAGCTTTCCTCATGACATGTCAAAGGTAAGAGCACGAATTGCTGAACTTACCTGTTGGTCAATCTTTTGATCTGGTGCTGTGCCTGATCATAACAACGTTATTTCTGCCTGTGCCCTGGGTCCCTTCACCAAGATACGCACCAAGTCTGTGCGCACACACCTCGTGGGAGCTCGCAGAGAAATTGTCTGCATCTGCCACTGACTTTTGCATTAAATGGTTGGAATTACTCAGGACAGAGGAGAACTACGTACAGAGATGCAGAGAGAATTAGCCCTTCTGACATCTACTGCTGCACAGGCAGCTTCATCCCATTCCCACAGCCTGATGCCAGTGCCGATACCTGGTGCTGCAGAGACATCAGCTCTATAGTCCTGCTCGTGCACACAAGAACTGAGAGCGGTT